AAACAAAGGAGGAGGCAACAATGCTTGATAAGAAATGTACTCATTACCTTGCCCATGTAATTGTAACCCCTCTGTATGGTATTTTCACAATAAAAAAAGGAAAGAAAGTGATTTTAAAGGGAAAAGGGGATAGGAGGCATTTCCACAGGGGGATGAATTTGATTGGAATATATTGTATGCATATATGGACATGTCCAATGAAACTTCTTTGTACAACTGATATATACAAGTAAAAATGTAAAAAAAGTTTAAAATGAGTTATTTGGACAATTAAACTGAAGCTCTGAAATATTCTGAAACCTGAAAAGCTGAAATTTCTTAAACATACCCCTGAGCATAATCTCCAGTCCTGCTCACAGACAACGCTGTACTCCCTGCTCACCAATGTTCTGTGTGCCCAGTGCTATGCACTGTTGTTAAGGGTCCTTTCTCAGGCTTATTAGCTGGACCTTCCTGTTCAGGTTTACCCTCTGTGTTTTAAAGAAGCTATGCAATCTATCATATAGATTTTTTTTAACCTTGGAGGAAGGTTTCCTGATCATGGTGCTGTTGACATTTGAGCTTGTTAATTCTTTGTTGTAGTGGGTTCTCCTTTGTACTTCTTAGCAACAGCACTGATTCCAGTAACACTTGCTGTCCCTAATAGTGGCAACCAAAACAGCTCTATAGATACCAACAAATGTGTTGGAAGTGTGCTGTGGCTCAAGTGGTAGAGTGCTAGCCTTGAGCTGAAGAGCTCAGGGACAGTGCCCAGGCCCACAGTTCAAGCCCCAAGATGGACAAAAAGAAAAAAAAAAACAAATGTTTCTTCATGAGTGTATATTGCCTGTGGAGAACTACCTTGGAGCCTCGTCTAAAATGTTTAGAAGGTGCAAGAAACAATGTACATAGAGCAGTGCTTACCAATTATATGACTTGATGTAAGTTGCTTGTGTGCTTTGACATTGTTTCTTGGTCATCAGAGTGGAGATAATAATACCCATAGTTTATAGTTGCTGAAGACCACATAAGGTATGGAAACTACTAGCTGCTGGTCAAGTCCCTATATCAAATAGTGTAATTATTAGTGGTAAGTTTCAGCTCAGTTTTCTAACACCATTAATTCCTGCCTAAGAAAAATGCCTTTCTTTCTCTCCCACCCTGCAAACAGAGCATGATGAATGTGGGAGTGGACAACACAACTGCGACGAGAATGCCATCTGTACCAACACCGTCCAGGGCCACAGCTGCACCTGCAAGCCAGGCTATGTGGGGAACGGGACTGTCTGCAGAGGTAGGCTTGCTGCCTTAGGGCTAAACGGTGAGCTTGTGGTGCTCACGTGGCTGACCTCCTTTACGTCTGGTGGCTGGACACTGCCAGGTTTGCTGCTCTACTGTGCAAAAAAGAAAGATGAAAGTGACCCTGGATTGGCTTTTGGGTTAAGAATATGGATCAGGGGCCCAGATCCATGATTAGATGTTACTGCTCAGCGTTTCCCCCTTGAGACTGAATTGTGTGAGGGAAGTTCTTTTCCTGGGATGTGAATTTTCTTTCCCGTGAACTTTTCTCAAATGCACGTGGTCATTATCCCTATCTATGGTGAAGGTGTCCCTGTGAATAGAGAACTTAACCACTACATTTGTTTAGTGATTGAGAGGCCAGTGTTGTGGCTTTGGTATACATTTAGACTAAAATTAAAAGTTCTCCTTCTACCAATGAGGCATGCAGAACCCTGGGCCCTGGGTCCTATCACTTTCTCTCTTTCTCCACTGACATTGTGCTTTCCCTGTATCCTTGACCATTCCTGTCCCTTCACCCTTGATGGGGATAATTTCCTTCATGCCTCTACTTTAAGATCAGTCCAGTCCAGAATCACTGTTTGATAACCTATTAACTTTAGCACCTTTAGTATTTCCTAACCAAAAGCTTGCTTTCTCAATAAGTAACCAGACAGAAAACTCTGTCTCTGTGTGTTAGTCCCTGTATTGGCTCTGTTCATGCTAGGATGTGTGCTTCATGACGGTGACCACTTGGTTTTGTCCCCCTAACTTTGCCCCCAGGAGCTAGATTGTGCCTCAAACACTGTAGGTGTTAATTAATGCCATCAGTCAAAGATATATGAGATACCAGCATTTGGAAAAGCAACATGATTGAAAAAGAAGCAACAAGAACAAAACCCAGGAGATATCTTGTGATCAGATACTCTTATCATCCTTACTTTAGAAGAGATAAAATTCAGATACAGAGAGGTTAAATAAATTGTTCCATGACAGATGGCACTATATTAATAGTCTTCTACGGAGATGTCATGTTGGTAGAGATAGAGTAGTAATTCAGAATGACTGAATCACTATATTCATGCACTAGACTAGAGGATCAAATTTTTTGTGTGTCAATCACTACTGGGTCTTGAATTCAGGTCCTGGAGGTTGTTCCTTAGCTTTATTCACTCAAGGCTGGTGCTAATACCACTTGAGCCACAGCTCCACTTCTGGCTTCTTGGTAGTTGATTAGAAATGAGTCTCTGAGACTTTCCTTATTGGCCTGGCTTCAAACTGTGATCCGTAGATATCAGTCTCCTGAGTAGCTAGGATTAGAGATCTGAGCCAATGACTCTTGTCTAGAAGAGAATTCTTAAAAAGTTAATTTTATCCACTCTTTTATTATATGCAGGTGAATGTGTAGAAATAGATTTATAGCTGATTGAGAGAGTAAATTGGTAAGAATCCCTTATGAGGAGCTATTTGACAAAAATGTACCAATGTTCAATGTTGGTGTTGTTTTTGAATTCTATCACCTTGCCTTTTGAAATAGATTCCAGAGAAATACAACTTCTTAAGGAGGGGAAAATGTACATATAATGATTTATTATAGCATCATAGTCACTGAAAATTAGAAACAATCAAAATAAACAGCAGTAATAGATTGCCTGTATTTATTTTGCATATTTGTGGAATAAAATTCACTAGTTTGAAACTTTAAGCATGTATATGTACACACTAGTGCAAATACACACATATACATATTCACTGAAAGACCCACAAGTCATAATTTTGAGAAGAGAAACAAAATCATATAACACAACTACATGTACAGAATCACAGCATGTCTTAAGTTATTATTTATAAATATCCATACACTTACAGAAATATCAAAAGATTAGAAATAAGAAGACCATTCAATATTTGCCTGTGTATCTGAACAAAAGAATACTCATTTGTTACAATAAATTATATATTTTATAAATTACAATGGAAACCTCTATATGGAGTATTTGTGTAGCTCTTAAGGATTTTCCTAAAGACCAGCTTAAAAGAAGGATGAGGATAATTGCAAAGCAAAACAAAAAACAAAACTATTAATATAGCTTCATGGATTATCAAGCCCACTGCTGGTTCCTACATGCTAAAATATATAAATCAAAGGAGCAACCTAGGGATTTGATTTTGATGCATTTGTTTTCCTCCTAGATTTATATTACCTAATAAAATAATATTAATTGCCCTGGCTTGGTGGGGAAGTCCTATCTTGTCTTTGTGATAAATGGGGCCATCACCTCTATGAAAAATATGAGTTCAAATAGTGTTCTTGGTATCTCCCGACTCTGAGGGAATCATATCTTCCCTTGAATGTTATGCTAGTAGAATGTAAATAAAGAAAGCTGTGAATTAGGGAAAATTATTTTCTTAAAGTGATTCTCACATTCAATCACACTGATCTGGGTAAAAGGGGAAGTCCTTTGTTTATAATGTTGAAGGGGAAGCACTGTCATGAATCAATGAATTGGATGAAAAACTTGAAGAGCTAGGGCTTAGACTCATTTTTATTATTGGCACGTTGCAACTTTTATTTTTATACATAGCAAAACTGGTTCATAATGCCACATCCCTTGTTTATCTAACAATGTTAGGGCAAAGAATTACTAAGAGAGTATATATACCAGTGTGTTTCCCATTATGAAAAGTAAAAAGTAAAAAGGATATTGTTGTTTATAAGGAAGGAGAAAGAAAAAGGAAGGGAGAAGAAAGCAGAGGGAGTGGGAAAGGAACTGGGATGCTGTTCATGGGTTCCTTGAAACTTTGTTCAGTACCCAATTCTGCCTCTTGGTTTCAGATCAAACCATCTGTAACTGAAGCATTGTGACTTGGACAAAGATGACTAGATAACTTGAACTAATCCCTTAATAATAATAATAATAGTAATGATGATGATGATGATAATTCTTTTCAGTAAGAATGCTTCAATTCAGAGTCTCAAGCTCTTGCTTGGCACATGATTTACACTTTACCACTTGAGCCATGTCTCCACTTCTGATTTTTGCTGTTATTTGTAGATAAGAGTCTCCAGCATTTGTCTACTCAAGCCAGTAGCTTGAATTATAACTGTGAGCCAGTAATACCTGGTTAATCTTTGTGGGTTTTTTGTATTTTTTTCTTTTTTTAATTGTCAAGGTGATGTACATAGGGGTTTCAGTTACATAAAGTAATAAGTACATTTCTTGCCAAACTTGTTACATCTTCCCTCAATATTCTCCTATTTTCTCTCTTTACCCCCACCCCCAAGTTGTACAGATCATTTCTAATTTGTTTTTAATTTTAGATATATAAGACTTTTCTAGACATGATATTTATAAATGAATAAATGCAGATAGAATAGAAAGTATTTTTACTTACATTAACAAGCATAGCCCAAGCCACAGTTTCTACAATACTAATTGATGGGATTTCTCACAGTGTTCTTTATGGTGGCTGATACTTATACAAGGAGATTTTTTATGGGAAGTATCCATCAGCTTTAACAAGTACCATCAAGTCCAATACATTATCTCACTTGGTTCCCACCATAACCCTGGGAAGGTTTTCACTTTATTCTGTTTCAAGGTAAATCCTGAAGATGATAAAACTATATCTGATTGAATGCAGCTATTGGGAATACTCTTCCAGTCTTTCGTCTGTCCTCTATTCCTTTTCTTCTCTTTTATTTGCCATTTCCTTCCTTCCTTCTCCCTTAGTCTTCCTCTTTATCTGTCTGTCATTTTTTTCCTTTTCCTACCAAAGTAAACAGAAAGGAAAGAGAGGAGATAATGGCAATCTATAACTTTTCAGATAAGGTTTTATTCTCATTTGAAAAACAAACTAAATTGCTTGTGTAAGTGTGTAGCATGTAATACTGAATATGTTAGCATTTAGGAGAAAATGCTAGCAAACAGTTTTAAATAAGATTTGTTTGACCGGACATGAGGGTTAAGGTTATCTATGGAGCAGTGTCTATCTGCTTGCCCATTCTTGCATTCATGCTGAAATGGAAATCAGGCAGCTGTCAATATGTAGCTAATAGACTAAGCCTCCTCTCTTGATCTGTCATTAGGGCTAGAGAAGATGGGATGATCCTTAGAAGCATTCTTGTCTTAATGACTGATATTGACATTTCTTCTGTAAATATAGAGTAAGTGTGAATATTGTGTCTGCAACATAATTCCAGGCACCAAAAGAGCAAAACAAAACAACAAAAAAAAACAACAAAAAAGCATAAGCCAGGACCCTTGGACACCATTTAGTGCTGGAGAAAGATTTGCTTCCAACCAATGCTTCCAACTCAATAGAACAATTCACAAAATGAAATTATCCCATATAAGAGAAACTCATAAGGAATTAATAAAAATATTGAGCCATGTGAAGAGCATATATGCTTGTTAGTTTTCCTTTGCTTAAAAGCAATTGAATACTTGGTTGGTGTGGCTGGGCAGTTTGCAGAACTTAGAAAAAAAGGAAGCGTGGGAACGTTTTTTAAAAAAAGCATGAACATTTTGCTATTTCAAGGCACTGAGCATTTACTTTATATTTTTGGTCTCTTGCATCCTACCACGTTTGGTGTTTGCTGTTTAATGTTGTTTCCTTGGGCATGGGGATACTCTTGGGGTGGTTATTGATTTGTATGAGAAATTTAGGCCCACAATTTGGCATACCCTGACTGCTGAGCTTCCACTCCCCTTGACCAAAGCATTTTGACTTTGCCTGAGGCAGAGAACTTGAATCAGACACTTCCCCTTCTCAATAGTCCTTTACACAGCAGGCTCTGTATTAGTTCCTTTGATCTCTGGCATAATTCAACACCATTGTCAGTTAGTACTATGGATAGAAACATCAGATTCTGCCTCTAAAAGCAGGCATATACAACCCCATGATCTTTTAGTGTCTGTGCCCAGGACCCTGCTACAGCGTCTGGATAGATATAAAGAGGCATAGAGGTATGGGGAGGATGTGGTCTCAGGTGATATTCCAAATGGTATCCTT